ACAGATAATTTTTTTAATAATCAATATGAGACAGGGGAAAATTAAATTTGTATTTGGGCTTATTAAATAAATTTGTTTAAGAAATATCAAATTATTAATAAAATTTCAAGACTGGTTTATTATAGCAAGCTGGTCGAAAAAGAAAAGAAGCGTTTCTAAAGCTATTAGAATGAGCATCTAAGGCATGAAAGACCACACCAAGAAATACGAGATTTCTAAAGAATAATGCTACATGTACAATACATTGATTACAATATTGGGTTACAACCTCTCACAAGGGAGGTGGGCCCGCGATTAAAATAATAGTGGGTCATACCTCCCTTGTAAGAGGTTATAATCCAACATTGTACAATGAGCATTATTCTTCTATAAATTGACCCAAGATCTTGGATTTCCTAAAAATAGTATTCTGCAAATTTTCTCTCTTGCACTATTCCATGTTTTCCATTTCAATCCCAAATATTATTTTTTGCTCCGATATTAGTAAGTCCGTTAATTCTTTTAGTTCAAAGTATCATTATTACAAGTCGAGGTCGTACCTTGGAGATGAGTGCCAGAGAGTAGTCGAACTAGTGCGGGACATTATCGCTTTAAGGAAAAGTAGTCAAACTCTTGTCTCGATCATACTAATTTTTCTACTTTATTTTTTCCTAAGTAAATCGAAACGCAGCCCAATTTTTTACAGATCAAAAGATTCTTTTGAGTACATATTTATGCAAGATAAATTCGTTATTGCATTTTCTTAACAACGTCTATGTTCCAAGCTCCTTTTTGCTCAGTAATTGGAGATTCGAGAGACATTGACAAAGAAAACGTGAAAAGTAAGAATTGGAAAAGGAAAGAGGAGAGGACGTAGAGACGCAGAATATGAGACAAAAGCAAGGAAGAAGATGATTTTATTATTTTAAGGTTCCTTCTTACCTAAACCATCGAATGATGATAGCAATTTGAAGTCTCGTTATTCTTATTCAACCAAATTGCTATTCATAGATAAAAGTCCAACATAGAATACCACTTTTTGGCAGTGCAGTAGAATACTCCCACAGTAAGCATGTATCTCAGCTTTTATTAAGGACTATGCTACATGTACAAAATGTTTTACAGACCCATTTCACTAGTATTAAAAACAATTTTCCAACAAAATATACAAACTACTTGAGATTAAATTCTTTTTCACAAGAAAGATCAAAACCTTTTTCCCTTGATATTCAAATTTTGTTTTGTGTTCTTGAAGTTTTGGTTTTGGTAGAAAACCAAAACACCAAGTGTTTAGGTGTTTTTCTATTACAAGGATTGATTAACCATTCAAATCATTTGTCTATATCCCTTTAAGCATCAAATTCAATTCGAGAGGAGATACATATCGTTTGAGGACAACGATATTCGTGTTTAAGCCTTCATTTTATTTCGATGTTTTTTTTTTTTTTTTTTTCCTTTTTCATCCCCTTTGTGTGGAATCTTTCTACAACAATCCAACATGGATGAGCTTGCCTTGTCCCTCGTTCACATCTAGGAAGCTCTTACCTTAATTCCTGGAGCACATACTAACAAACTATTCGCTAAAAAAAGAGATACTGTAAAAATCTGATGCTCTCGCTAAATTAATGAAGTGGTCCATTGAACCCAGCCACTTAGAAATCAACCTTAATCAAGAACTTTAATCAAGGGGCAAACTTTGGCGAATTTCGTTGCTAAATTCTCACACCATCCAAAGACCGAATCTCCTAGCGAACAACAACGGGATAGGTTTGTGGCTTTTAAGTTTTTTTTCTTTTTTTTTTCCTTCTGAAAATAAAAAGTTTATAAATATTTCAAACAGTGTAGCCTAGGTGGTCCATCTTGTTTCGTCACGTAATGTGTTGTCTCACATTTTCTGAACATGTCAAGTTTATAGGTGACTTTCAAGTGCTGCGTTAAGCAAGCGAAGTCGGTACACAGCTATGCCAAACAAAACTTTATTGGTGTTGACGAGAGAGGCAGAAGGTAGGTATTAAATGCTATAACAAAGAACACGTTGTTCTATTATCTTTAATGCCTATAGATACACGTCAACACGGTTTAATTATTTGTGGTCACATAGGAGTAAAATTTCATTTTATAATATTAGTGGAGCTAAGGGTTCGTTTGGCATGACTTTTGAAAAGTTAAAAGAAGTTTTTGAAACTCAGAAGTTACAAATTTTATGAAAGTTCTTTTGATAGTTAGAAGAGTTTTTAAAAAAAACCTGGTATAATGTGACTTCCTCGAAAAACACCTGTAAAATATGAAGTATTTTTAAAAATTAGTTTTCAAACAAAAATTAAAATAACTTTTATCAAAAGTTCTTCTACAAGAACCAAAAGCCAAGTCAAACGGACCCTAAATATCATTACTCGCATATATAGCCCCTGTTTCACATCAACTTTATCAAAACTCTTTTTTCTCATACTAATTTTTAATCACATATTTACGCAATAAAATATTTTGCGCGTACCAACTTTTTAACTATATATTTTCCAAAAAATCATTATTTCAAAAATCATTTTTCCCAAGAAAAAAAATCATTAAAATCGATGTCAAACATAGACGTAATAGCTAATGTGAGTTTGTACCTTCAACCTTGACGGAAACGTTCCAACCTCTCTTTCTTGTTCCAATCTTGAAAATTGTAACCATGAAAATCATACATGGGGACAAGCTGAATGTCAAGATTTTGATAAATTTTAATTATTAAATTTGACCAAAAAGAATTTTAATTCATTTAATTTTAGGTCCAATTGGTTGAATGGATCCATCTTTGATGTTTCTCTCTTTTTTATTTTTCTTTTTCACTTTGATGGTATTATGCACTAAATTCGCACAGTAAATTATTGACGTTTGAATGAAATTATTGTTTCGGAGAAGGGTGGGGGTTATCAGTCGCTCTCAATGACTCCATTCATTGAGTATGGTATCAACTTGGAAAAAAAAAAAAAAATCGACGTGGATTTTTTATGTTAATACCCTCAACTTGAAAATTTGCAAAACAAGGTTTGGTGAGTTCAAGTGTCCTGAACTTCAAAAGAACTGGTTTTACATTCTATGTATATTCAATTAAGACTTGTAGACTTCTTGAAAGTCATTAAAAATCACTGGGTATTAAATGATATTAAATAGGGATGGTAAAAAAATTCGTTAAACCCGATATCTTAGGTCCCGTCTCTAATGGGGGTAGGGATTACTTGCCAACCGAGTAAACGGGACAATGATCATTACCCCAACTTGGGTATGGGAAATATAGTCCACGCTACCCGCTTATCTAAAGTTAATTTCAAGTTTAAGTTTTATATATAAAAAAATTATCATTATTTTCAAAGAAAACATGAGTTGTTCTTAACAAATTGGAAAAAATAATAATTTTTACTAATTAAAGACATAAAATAAATAAACGGAGCGATACTCCCGGATCCCGCCCTATCTTTCTTTAACTGAGTATGTGGATGAGGCAAAATAAAAAAAAAAAAAAAAAAAAAAAAAGAGGACCAGGAATGTGCAAGTTTGTATATTATTATATTATAATTAAGTAAACATGACTTGCATATATTCCAAGTTAATCAAGAGTTATTTGTAAGGGATCGTGTCTGTCTGTCCAAAAAGTAGAAAATGAAATAAAGCTAACCTCAATGCCCCTGTATGGGGTTGATTAAATGGAAATTAAAATAAAAAAATGATCGTTCAGGCCAATATCTCACTATTTTACTCCACAAATTTCTGACTATATGTTGTACCCATAATTCACTATTTGCTCATATTCCAAATTGCCCTCAAAATGAATTCACTTTGTGGGCTTTGAATATTGCTGCCAAAAATGAAAAGGCCATAATGGATTCTTGGTTTTTTCATAAAATTGGCAGAACTTTGGCTATATTTTTCAAGCATCTCTCTTTCTCACGCAACCAGAACTGCAATTATCCTTCTCCCTCTATATAAACCTCTCCAATTCGATTCTCTCTCCTCATCCTTCTTCTCTCATCTTTTTGTGTAACCTTTCTGTGTTAACAATGGCGGGAACCTAATATAAACGCCAACGAGAAGAATCTCGTGAAGAAGAAGCAGAAGCCAGCGGCGAAGCCAAACTATCGCCTCCCTGGCTCTCCCGCGCAGGTCTCCTTCTTCCCCAACTGGCCAACACTNAAATCGCTGGCTAAGAAAATAACTGATTGTGCAAATAAATTGTACAATTTTTTGCATTCAATCCTTCGTTTCTTCACTTTTCTTGTTCAAGAACTAGAACAGATAATTTTTTTAATAATCAATATGAGACGGGAAAAATTAAATTTGTATTTGGGCTTATTAAATAAATTTGTTTAAGAAATATTAAATTATTAATAAAATTTCAAGACTGGTTTATAGCAAGCTGGTCAAAAAAGAAAAGAAGCGTTTCTAAAGCTATTAGAATGAGCATCTAAGGCATGAAAGACCACACCAAGAAATACGAGATTTCTAAAGAACAATACTACATGTACAATATATGGATTACAATATTGGGTTACAACCTCTCACAAGAAAGGTGGACCCGCGATTAAAATAATAGTGGGCCACACCTCCCTTGTAAGAGGTTGTAACCCAACATTGTATAATGAGCATTATTCTTCTATAAATTGACCCAAGATTTTGGATTTCCTAAAAATAGTATTCTGCAAATTTTCTCTCTTGCACTATTCCATGTTTTCCATTTCAATTCCAAATATTATTTTTTGCTCCGATATTAGTAAGTCCGTTAATTCTTTTAGTTCAAAGTATTATTATTACAAGTCGAGGTTGTACCTTGGAGATGAGTGCCAGAGAATCGTCGAACTAGTGTGGGACATTATCGTTTTAAGGAAAAATAGTCAAACTCTTGTCTCGATCATACTAATTTTTCTACTTTATTTTTTCCTAAGTAAATCGAAACTCAGCCCAATTTTTCATTGGTCAAAAGATTCTTTTGAATACATATTTATGCACGATAAATTCGTTATTGCATTTTCTTAACAACGTCTATGTTCCAAGCTCGTTTTTGCTCAGTAATTGGAGATTCGAGAGACATTGACAAAGAAAACGTGAAAAGTAAAAATCGGAAAAGGAAAGAGGTGAGGACGTAGAGACGCAGAATATGAGATAAGAGCAAGGAAGAAGACGATTTTATTATTTTAAGGTTCCTTCTTACCTAAACTAAACCATCGAATGATGATAGCAATTTGAAGTCTCATTATTCTTATTCAACCAAATTGCTATTCATAGATAAAAGTCCAACATAGAATACCACTTTTTGGCAGTGCAGTAGAATACTCCCACAGTAAGCATGTATCTCAGCTTTTATTAATCATTAACTATGGTCACGTAAAGCCATACGTACAACAATAATCCAATTTCCCCAAAAAACTTACTTTTCACTTGATAGAAAAAGGTTTTCTTGCATCAGTTCTTGTTTCTTTTCATATACTCAACTCTCTCTCTATCTCTCTCTGTCTCTAGAATGACAGAGATAAGGAATTCTTTAAGACCCTTCATTTCAGGCGGATAAACCGGTGTATCTTCACAGATCCAAGAGTACAAAAAGCTCGGTAATTTTCTGTTCTTAACCATTTTTAATGAGTCATTCTCTCTTTAACCATTACTGAATTTGTTCACACCCCATCTTTACATTTTACTGGTTTACTGTTTAACTGGTGTGTTCTTGTTAATTGACGTTCTCAAATAAATAAGCCCTTTTAAAATTGGTTTTTAGAGCATGTCTTAAGTGTGTGTATTTGTGTGTGTTGTATATGTGGTTATATTTCCTTCTTAGCTTGTCAATATTCCTATCACTTACTAGACATTTTGCTGTTTTTCAGCACTTTTTACTATCTGCCATGGCTGATCTGTACATTTCTTGAAAATTTGTTTATATACTTAAGTGCAATATGGTCTTTGAAGCAATTTTCAGCTGAATTTTGCTGTGAATCTCTTTAATTCCTCTCACATTTGTTCTGATTTTTTATTTTTTTTAGTGTGGAATTTTTCTGTCAAGAATAGATGGTACCTTTCTTTTGTATATGGTCCCATTTCGTAATCCTGCTTTTGTTTATATTCTCAGGCTCTATTATTTAGCATATAATTTAATGTGTAGAACTGTAGAATTATTCTTTCCTATCTGCTACTTCAATAGTGGGTCATCTCATTATCTGTTCCTTCACAATATTTTTTATTATTGGGAGATTTCTGTTCTGAAATATAGAGGAAAATTTCTTTTTCAATCTTGCCACTAGAAAAGGTTAGGTGAATGGATGAGGGAGGCGATTTTCAACGATGGGATGAATTAATACCAGATGCACTTGGCTTAATATTCAAGAATCTGTCACTTTTTGAGGTACTTACTGTAGTACCAAGGGTTTGCAAGTCATGGGGAAGAGCAGTAAGGGGGCCTTATTGTTGGCAAGAGATAGACATTGAGGAATGGAGTCGAAACTCCAAGCCTGAAATTGTAGACCGAATGGTTCGATTGCTTATCACGAGAAGTGGTGGCTCCCTCAAGAAACTCTGTGTATCCGGTCTCTCTAGTGACCAGACCATTTTGTTCATTGCAAACCAGTAAGTATTATGCAGACTCGTTTTATGAAGTACGATATCAAGTTTGAGGTTAAGCTGATGTTTTTTAACTCGACTGAAATCGTGTTTAATTGATTGACGTTATCTTATCATCGGTGTGATTTACACATTTTGGATTATATTCATTTTCTTCTGTTTTGGTTGCAAGTGCGAAATCTCTCAGGACTCTGCGACTGCCAAGAAGTGAAATAAATGATTCAATTGTGGAAAAGGCTGCTGGGATGCTTTCGACTATTACATGTTTAGATTTGAGCTACTGCATTAACATAGGAGCCGAAGCCCTTGAAGCCTTAGGGAAGCACTGTAAATTTCTCACCAGTTTGCGCCGCATAATGCACCCTCTAGAAGTGATCAACAAACTTTCCCAAGACGATGAAGCCCTCGCGATTGCTGCTACAATGCCTAGTCTCAAGCATCTCGAGATTGCCTACTTGCTTGTTAGCACAGAAAGTGTAATCGAGATTCTTAAAAACTGCGAACAACTCGAATTAATTGATCTACGGGGTTGTTGGAATGTCAATCTAGACGAGAAGTTTGTGAAAAAGTTCACAAAATTGAAGGTGATTGGACCCATGGTTGTTGATTGTTATGACATGAATGGTTGGGAGAACTGCTCAGATTATTCGGCCTCGTCTGGTTACCTAGCCTGGGACTTTGTGGCTGGCGATATAGACGATGATTATGCCGAGATGTTGGATGATCTTTGGGAAGGCGACCATCCTTTGGAGGACATTGAAATGTGGTTCTACGATGATGTTAATGCTGTTGATGCTGGATATGATTGGCCTCAGTCTCCTTAATATTAATACTAATCTAGTTTTAGCTGGCTGAGAGGATATCTTTTGCTGTCTGTTGGGCTTGTGCTTATTATATATATTACCTACAAGTTTACAATTTGGCTCTGTATCTTGCTAATGCACTCTACTAATGGGTAATTGCCGTGATTAATTGAATAAGAAATACTTGTTTCTTTCTATTTCCAACTATTTTACACTTTTTTTCGGATTTTTGCATTTGTTTTGAGTAAGACAGGATGCTTGATGTATGCTATCAGGACGAACAAATGTTCAAGTTTAGCCATAAAAAATTTGAGGAACCAGAAGGTATAAACGAACAAGAGGATCACATTTGTGATGGGAATGAGATGGAAACAAAAAGTCTTTTGACATTCTATTGCTTTCTATAGACCATTGAATCAATTTTAAACGATTGTTTACGGCGGTTTTTACTCTCCATACTATTTCGCCCCTTTAATAACAAGGAAAAAGCCTCAAGTACAGAAAATTCTTGACAGAATTCCTACAAATGCTGTCGTGGCAATATCTGATTCATCCATTTTTTCTTCTTTTTTTTTCCATCATGTATTCTGTAAAAAAATTATGTACTTATAGCATGATTGTAATAACAAACAAAGAGCATGTCAACAAGTAGTACTGGACAAAATAGTACATTTGACAAGATTTTAATTTTCATCAGGTTCTATCCACTATTCTTGAATCCACCTTACCAAACAAGCTACAAGTGTGAAAGATCGAAACAATGAGCTGACCTTTGCAGATTTTCCAAAAGTCACAACTTGCTTGATAGTTTATGGTTTCAATGTTTGGTAAATGTAAAAATAATATTTAACCATCTCCAAGTTCATGGAACAAAGATTGCATCCACAACTATAATGATGAATCAACTGTTGGGAGTTTGAACACAATCAGTCCAATTCTCAACAACTTACGACCTTGAAGTCGAGCATTCATTCCGATATTTGACCTCATCTTCAACCACCATCGGTAAATGCCATGTTCCAAGAGGAGAACCACTCGTCTTTCCACCTAAAAATGTAAATTTCATTTGAGTACGAGGGGAAAGGGAGTCGTTTGATTTATACGCATATAAAATGATTACAGCAGCTACAGCTCAATTACGAGAGATCAATTAATATAAAAATAAGTATCCTAAAATGACATTACCTTCTTTGGTAGCTTCTTCACATCTTTTCTGATACTTCAGGGACAGTTCTGGACCTAATTCTTTCATTAACTGATCGTACTTTTCTTCTGCCTCAGTTATAAATTTTGCCTTGGTACAAGGAAAAAAGGTTCAAGACAATGACAAGGTAATAAAGTTTTGCTTATCAAATAAGTAATCGCAAATAAGCCCCTATTTGTCTACCATTATTCCAAAAAATAGTTTACTACAGTAAGATTCTCCACCGTACATTCACCAAATAAAATATTCTACACACAAACCAATAAAATTACTTTAAATTTCAACCACACATTCTCCAAAAATAACTATTCATTACTCTATTTTTCTCCCAATAATGGGAGACAAACACACCCTAAATATCAATATTACATTTTTCTACAGTCTCAAAGTACATACATTATCTAAAATGATCAATTTAGTTTAGGATCCAATTATTGTAGCATCAGTTAAAGATGAATATTATGATGTCCCTAGTGTGCATTCCAGATTTCTATTTTTCTTGTATGTTTGATCAAGAATATATAAGTATGCTATATATTAAAGGCACGGTCTCAAACTTCACCGATCATTCAACTGCATCAATTTTCAAACACGAATAGAAGCAATCGAGTCCAAGTCCAGCTTAGGGACATGTACAAACATCACAAAAAAACACAGAGACATGCAGGGAGAGAATCCGATATAGTGTTAGCCAATAACTGAGTTTTTAGCTGCTCAATTAAAATTATTAACGGAAGAAAATTCTCCAGTTACAAGTAACTTGAGAAACTTTGAGAAAATTGTCTTAATCTCGTGCAGGGACACGCTGTTTCAATTTTTGGTTCAAAGAAACAAGCACCACAACAAAAAGAAGAGTAACAGATTTTATATATATATATATATATAGCGACAGTCTTTAGTAAAATTCCAAAAGGGCAAAGTTAAATGGAGGATTTCTAGAAGTCGCTGGTTTGAAATTTAGCATCATGAGGAAAATGCATACGCATTATTTGTCTTTAATAGCATCAAATGCCTTTGGAAGATCTGAAATTGATTTTTGTCACAAGTGTGATAGTTCCATTCATAAAAACCTTTTTGCATTAGCAAAATTAATTTAATACTGACCAGCATGGCCGGTGCTGCAGAAGCTCCATAGTATCTGACAAACATGCGCAGAATGTTGAAATTATTGTTCAAAACGTCATCCTACGAGGAATAAAATATTTTTTAGCTTCAAGCAACTACAAAATGCATGTGGCAAGACAAGTATTGAAAGGAATAAAAGATCAAAGAAAGACATACTTCGTAATCAAATCTGCAGCATTTTCTTGGGATGCATCAATGAAAATCAACCAAATTATGCTCTCACATGCATTATGAAAGTATAGAACTTTTTGCACTTAGTTGTACAATATAAACATCTGCAGTGTAATAGCCCCAAGTAGAAACCACAAAAGAGATGCCACCACCAGGAAGAAGAATCACTTACAGGTCATCTGATACTTCCACAAGCAACTCTGAACGTGATAGAAATTCCATATGCAATTCATTTACCTTCAAACAGCCAAAAGAGAATAATTCGTGAACTATATCACTTCCTATATTTAGAAATATAATATTTACAAGGCTGTTTCCATACCATTTATCAAATCTCTTTCTGCATTACCATACAGAAGCCTAACCGTAAGGAAATTTCAGAAGAAATCTTTTCGATGCCAACATCAAACTAAGTCTTGTACAAATTTAGGTTCAGCTACACAGAACCTATTTTATCACTCAATTCAGCTGCAGTCTATCACTACACGGCATCGACTGAATGATTTTGCTGTAATTATATCCTTTACAATCACAACGAGAGATGATAATTTTAGTCTACCTCTAACGTGTTATATATGCTCATTTCTTATCTTACCATTTTAGTGTAGCCACATGGCCATCTCAACATCTTCATTTCTTATTCATCTTATGGAGATTGTCCTTTTGATGGTACAGCATTTAGTCATACAGCAAACTAACTCTAGTTTGTTATAAAAAACTTGTTTTTAACCTTATATTAATGTTCCTATCACGTGGAATTCCTAAAACACTTCCCCATTTCATCCAGCCGCTTGAATCCTGTACAATGTGTTCCATTCAAGTCCTCATTCATAGTTAACAATTGAACCACCTAAAACAATCGGTCTTAGGGACAACGTGATCCATAGTAATTCCATTATCATTCTTGTTCCTACTATTACGAAAATGACAGAGAATTACTTTGTCTTAGTTCTACTCAACGAAGAATGATATGAATTGTTATTAAGCTTAATAAACTTCCTACCTTCTCTCAAAACTATAATTGGATTTGAGGCACAAGCATAAACTTATGCCAAATAAACAAACATATAAGGTAATTGTTGAAAAGTTACATCTAGCCTATTATTTAGGATTATAGTTTCTTTTTATTATCTATAAATAGATTACAAGTCTTTGTATCATTTGAAAAATACAGGTTTTTTTCCCTCTCAAGTTAACATGGTGTCAGAGCTCTTGTGATCCATAAAATATTTTATGTTGATGATATAATTATAATTGGTGATGATGAAATTGCAGATCTTAAAAGGATTCTTTCTAGGGAAATTGAAACTAAAGACCTAGGAGTTTAAAATACTTTCTTTGTATGGAAGAAGCTCGATCAGCCAACATAATTGTAATGTCCCAAAGAAAATACAATTTGTGGAAGTCGATCACAAACCAAGTGAAGTTCCAATTGATCCGAATAATAAAATTGGCTGCTCTAAAGATGGAGAATCGGGGGACAAGGAAAGGTACCAAAAGTTAGTTAGAAAGTTGATTTACTTATCTCATACACATCGTGACATCGCTCTCTCAGTAAGTATAATGAGTCAATACATGCACTCTCCAAAGTAGAACACTTGCAAGCAGTTTACACTTTACAAGATTCTGAAATATTTGAAACTTACTCCTGGGCATGGTTTGTTGTTTAGGAAAAGTGAGAAATTCTGTGTTCAGGCTTTTACATATCCTGATGGGGTTGGTTCCGTTAGTGACATAAGGTCTACTTCAGGTTATTGCACATTTACCGATGGTAATCTGGTGACTTGGTGCAGTAAAAACAAAGTGTAGTGGTAGAAGTAGTGTAGAGGTTGAGTTTAGAGCAATTGCACTTGAATGTGTGAACTATTGTGTCTCAAAAAACTTCTTGAGAATTTGAAGTCAGTTTGCAGTTCCCATGAGGTTATATACAAACAATAAAGCAGCAATTTGCATAGCTCACAATCCAGTGCAACATTATAGGACAAAACGTGGAAATTGATACACTTTATTTATAAAAAAATGCTTAAACTTCGCGTGATTTGTACGCATTTGTTTTTACAAAGGAGCAACTTGTAGATTACCAAGGGTTTATCGAAGGCAGTGTTTGAGCCATTTTTTCCAAGTCTGTTTTGTTTGATATCTACTAACTAGCTAGATGGGAGTGTTGAAAAGTTGCATTTTAAGGATATTAATGTAAACTGAGCTTGATTTATTTGGATTATTCTTCCTAACCTCAAGACTCTTTGTTGTAATTCTTTTATTGTAACTGTAGCCTATTATTTAGGTTTATACTTTCTGTTTATTATCTATAAATAGATTAGGAATCTTCGTATCATTTGAGAAATACACATATTTTTGGCCTCAAGTTTCCAATTATCGTAGTCAAAAGTGCTAAAGAAATATCTATGGTATCATTTACTTCTCTAATTTCATTGTACTAGTAAGAGTTGCACGTTCAACGCACGTCATTCTGAAATACTTTATAAGTACTGTGAAAGTAATATTAGACCATTCGTTTACCCTTTTAAATGAGAGAATGAAGCCCATGAAAATAAATGTTTATTATTATACATGGACGTAAATAATGAAATGCATCCTTGAAGGTGAGTATTAAAATTACAACTAAATGCATAAATGAAGATGAATGACAAATACGATATATGAATTAACGTGAATGTTAATTAATTTTAAATTAACGCCAAGGAATATATAAGTGATGATGAATGTTAAATCATGTATACTAAATGAATATAATTTCATTTTCAATTAAGTGAAACTGGATGCTAATTAGCACAAATGGAAGTGAATAATGAGTTGCATTCTTTAATCTGAAATTCTTTAATATTAATTAAATAAATGTTAATGTTAATTAATTGAGAATTAATAACAAAGACATGGACGTGAATGTGAAATTCTAATTAATATTAGTTAAATGAATGTGGATTTTAATTAGTTGAGAATTAATAATAGGGAATACATGCATAAACAAGGATTTTGTAGTATTTATTACAATTTGTAAATTAAATACATATTGAAAAACGAAAAGTAAGATACAAAATATAGTGAATATGCATGAAAAAGGATTTTGTAGTATTTATTGCAATTTGTAAATTAAATACATATTAAAAAATAAAAAGTAAGGTATTATTGAAATAATTGAACTGTATAGGACTATAATCGTCCCAAAAATGATTCTCCCTTGATGTGATATTTAATATAAAATGGATAAGCAAATATGTGACATTTGAAAGTGCTCTATAGAACAATACCTTTTCGCTTCTCATGTGATACAATAGAAGGTTAAGCACTCGATAGTCAAAGGATTTCAGATGAATAGCCCTTATTGCATCCTCAATTGATATCTGTGTAAGAATATCTTAAATCAAAACCAGCCATGTAAAACATTGGCCTTGCCTTCATAAAGGTGTCTTCTTAAATATTGTGTTGACAGGTATTACAGAGATATTGGAGGGCTATTCTGAGGTAATCCCTTTACAATTTTTCAAGTTACATTTCATCATCTCCATGTCTTTTCTTCATTTTATGAATTAACTATCTCTTTTCTGAATGAAACAAGCCCACTTGGACAACAAGTAGCCGTGATTAGTTATTATTTCTTGGCAAAAAGTGGCAAAGGAAATAAAGGTAAACCTCATTGTCACTCATCAGTGCACAACATAGCTTTCTTTCTAGAGCCCAGTATTCCTCTCCACTCGTAAGTTCTTCTTTAACCCTGAATGCATTAAGGGGTGAATCAAACAAAGAAATTTAAGCAACTCAATGCCTAAGTTTTCAGTTAAGAGAAAGAGGGAAAAGAAAAAAAAAAATAGAAGTGGAAGTAGAACGGAAAGAAGCATGATGCTGAACCTTTCTGTCAGAAGCCCTTGATGCTCAAGTACGATTACAAGAGGTCTGAAGGGATCATGTCTTAACATTCTTGCAGATGTAGAACTCAGGCTTCGTTCATCTACCTGCACTTTAGTCAAAATGAATGAGAGAATCAAATGCTGATTTGAACATTAGTTTCATACGGAGTTTTTAATTTCCATTAAGTTCTCACATCATAATCTCTATCCAAAAGAGTAGCTCCACCAGTAGGCAGCTGCAGTAGCTTCTCATTTAAACCATCCAACTGTATCACCAAAATCATATGACAATCAATCAGGACACAAGAATAAGTACAACCTTGTAGCTAAAGCTCCATCTTTTCTGATATCTGACACAGAATGATGCATTTACAGGAAAATAAAGCCAATTATTCTTTTATCCATTGAGTAAATTTAATTTCTCCCAAGGTCAAAAAAGAAAAAGAAAAGATGGTGGACAATAGTAAAACAGCATCCGTTTCTCCACCAGCTTGAATTATTCAGTTTTCTCCAGGATCATGACACAAAGATTTACAACCACCATACCAGCTTCGCCTAATATACTCGCAAAATGCTCAATTTTTTTCATCCACCAATAGGAGTTCGAAATCGTTAAGACACTCACCTGATAAATATAACTTTCAGTAAATGAAAGGATAGGTAAATATCTGAAAATTGAATGTGGCTGGTATGCGTCCAATTTGTGGAACATAAAATATGACCTGCACTGTTATTCTGAAATGATTATACAAGATCGTTTCTGATAAAACCATTATATAAAAGTTCAGCAACCAGAACAAGATTTACTAATTATACAACAAAGAGTACATTTGTCACAAAAGGTCCTAAAAATGGCGCGCGAGAGAGAGAGAAATTAAATTGAGGAAGGTTAATAATAATCACAATCATGACAATGCTTTGTGCATATTCTCGACAATATTTCCAGTCAAAGAAACCAACAGGGAAAGATATATCATTTTTGCGCAGAAAGTGTAAGCTGTCAGCCTCACAATTTAATTGAACTTGACGGTTTAAAACTTGGCAAAAACTTAAATATCATGTCATACTGCTGATGGTTGTAAATAATACTTCACTCCTGGTAAGTAACAAAATCTTGGAAGAACGAAGTTTATATTAGTGATCTTCTCCAGGCTATGCTCATAATTTGCCTTCTATATTTCCTTTCTGTTAAACTAAAACAAAAAAAATAAAAATTAACTGTCACTCGTGAATAAAAAAAGAGACCAAGTAGTAAGCATCCATTCATGAAAGAGGGTATATTGTGGTATTTGAGTGCCCAATCCATCCCTAACAAGATGATCACCACCAACCATAAAAGAAGGGGCATGAAATTGTAATACTAAATAGATTATTGAGCAGCACAAAGATATACAGATAATTCAGAAAGAAATATGCAATCCTAAAATCTATCACTCAGATGCATCAAATTAGTACTCACAAAATCTTCTAGGGTTGAACTTGCTCTTAGCATTGCATCCAACCCCACCATTGCCACCCCATCAGAGATACTTTGCACTGGATCAGGGTCTACTTTATGGTAACAATGCAGTGATACAGCACTTTCAATCTGGTTTTCACCTGCAAATATACTTGATGTCTAAGCAACATAAAGATGAAGTTAAGATAGTTAAATGTTTACATAAATAATAGCTATCTTGACGTCCAAATATGCTTGCATTCATGGCTCATAGTCCAGATGACAGGCAGGGCATTGCTGTTAATAGAGTCCCCATGTTCTTTCTGAAGAGCTATTTCCCCGTGTATATGAAACAGACAATTAGCTACGGCTCACATATGCTTTTGGGTATTTTAGAAGATGTGTCTTCTACTTCCTATCAGAACCGTGGATCACAGAGTAGCAGGATGTACAGACGACCATAATATCTATGTGAGGGAGAATAAGACATTTCAGGCTGGGAACAGATTTGAAGAGAGCTGATTTGGCCAAGGACAGAATCCTGGAGGAAACAAAACAGAATCTTGGACGTGCGGTCATTGTAAAATGTATAAGATAAGAGATGAGAATATGCACCAACAGGTGAAGCTTGCACCAATTGAGTATAAATCAAGGAACGGACACCTTATATGGTTGGGATGTGTTTTGCATAGAAAATTGTCTCTTGTTCATAAGAGCGATGTGATATCAGCAGAACAAATCAGAAGATGGAGGAGTGGACTAATTCATTCCTCTGTTATACTTGCTCGGGATCTGGTTGCTTAAAATCTTGAAATAATCTGAACTGTTACCGAATGAGAGGAGAAAAATGTAGCCAACTCTAAATTTGTGGGAAACAAGGCTTAGCTTGTTCTTCTTGTTATTGCTGTAATTTCATCTCATATAAATGTAATACAGAACAGTAGAAGGATCTAAAGTTTAGATTTCTTATATATTATTTACTTTCAGATTCTTTATGAAATTTAGTTCCAAAAGCATTCAAAGAATGGTTTCCAGTACACATGGAAAATCTCGACCATCCAATGGAGGAATAGTCACATAGAAGAATTATGATAACAATAATCGTAGTAAATCGACCATCATAACTATTGCTATCAAATGAAACATACCTTCCCCACTATCACATTGCAATGTTCCTGTGAGATAAGCCGTTGAAATCTGCCAATCCAAAGTATTAATAATATGTGTAAGCTTACAGTGCCCTTGACTTGCTAAGGAATTGAAAGCAGAGTAACCGTACCTTCGCAATATGTTCAGCAATCAGTTGGCACTTAGTGGTAATGTCAAGCTTACCGCAATGTTGTACCTTCAATGAATTGTAGTTAAGATCGGCAAGAGGAAAGAGCTCAATCGATCAATTAGTATTTGTCTAAGTATAACAAAGTCACATAGTTGAACCAAAAGAAAACCCCACAAGAAAGGAGAAATAAATTGTAGGAAGAAAGTTATTCACTCTCATGACAATCATATTAGAATGAAAAATGTTTGACAGCGGCCACTTCAACATAATTCACATCAATTCTGGTGGCATTACCAGCAATGCATACTCAACCTTTTTGACATTTTGCTAAGTATGAATATGTAATAACTTTCCTGCATCCCTTTTATTATTTAACAACTTCCACTATACATTCACAACAAATATGTATTACATATTCGCGCATAAATATATCTTAATTCCTAATTAAACCATCGAACCACCTAAATGCAAAAGCCAAAGATTTCTCTTTTATTAAAGTATTACTGAAAAACAAGCGAACTCTAAAAAACTCTTGTCATTAGAGCCTAAAATACATTACATTCAATTTGTCTACTTCATGATTACAGCATTATTAATACTAAACAAGTTACGAAAGATGAATGAAAGGGGAGTAAAGGTAGGAGTGGTAAATAGGTACCAAAAGGAGGGTGAAATTTGCGAGGAAGCGATCGGAATCGGCGTTTTTGTTGGAAGGGTCAATAATGTCAATTGATTGAAGCACATGTATCGTCCTCTGTACTTGTTCTAGCTTCTTCAAACGTTCCATTTCAGCGTAAGTGATTCGAGAAGAATTACAGGGAGAAAATTGTATCGCCTATGTGTGCGTGATTCTGCTTCACTTGAAGGTATCGGAGCCGGGCGAAGTAATGGAAAGTTCGGGGTGCCGCCGGCCGGGTAAAGCGAGGAGAATGGGAAGAAAGTGTCATAAAATAACGATGTGTTTCTAATTAAAACGTTATGTTAAATGTAATTACAATGACAACTTTACCTACAACAGCCTCCGAAGCCAATTGAGCTTATTTCATACTAATTAAGGATGCTAAATGGGTCAAATCGATATGTTTAATTCTATCGTAGTTGGAATTTTTCCAACCATCATACAAGTCGACTCGTGCTCTTATGTAAGGCGAGTAGAGTTGATCTCGAGCGAGCTTGTTGCAGTGATGTGAGGCTGAGCTCGCCTCACAAGATTGTCCCTTGGTGGGGTAAGTCAAGCACACTAATGAATCGATCGTTGTTATTTAAAAAAAAAATTGAATTGAAAATTCATTTTCACTCCTCGAGGTGTAATGAAGATGCAAGGAAATTATATTTTATCAAAATAATCATGTAATCGTAAGAAAAAAGGTAAACGTAAAATTCGTCAAAAGCATTATAAGGTTGTAAAAATCATATTCCTTTATTCAAGCTTAAACCGGCTACAATACGTAAGTTGAGTTAAAATTGTACACAACGAATATTTTGTATATAATTTCCTTTAAATAAACAAGTGAAATAAATACAATATATGAACGATTATGGAAACCAAATATACTTGCAATTTTACCTTTGTAATCTGCAGTTGTAGATTCAAAAAGATGCCAGGGGTTGCTTCGTCTTCTTGAAGACCAACGACAATACTGACATGTGCTTCTATTCAGGATATAATATTTTTTAGGCCATGTAATGCATCTCAATCTAACATGTCTCCCATGATAGACCTTATGTCTGTAAGTATTAATAAAGACGCAAGTGCTATGAACAAATTCTTGGTTATACTAGACAATATTGAATATTAAAATCGCTGTGTGTTCCACCATTGAAGTATACTAAAGAATACGCCCATACTAATGTTCCATCCAATGTTGGTGCTCCAAATATATTGATTTCATACATTTCGACACAAAAAAGCTTGAATCTACGTAGTTCGAATTGTGGTACAAATAAAAAAAAATCTATAATTCATTTTCACAATGTCGTTATATTTGTTTTGAAGGGAAATTTTAAATTATTTTGAGATAAATGAAAGCAATGTTCAGCTTCATACAATTTGAGACATGGATTGGATGCTGGAACTAGGAGAAAGATAATTGTTACAAGACGAAATATATTTTTAAGCGTGTTTTTCAACATGACACATGACTCGAATAATGGAGAATCTTAATCCTACACTATAAGAAGACTAAATCAATTTAACAAAGGGATAACATAACTTAAATTGGATGACTGGGTTTCACATTGCAGGGAACATCAAATTAAGTCTCTATTTGACACCATACTTTTGGGGAAAAAAAGTTTTGAATAGTGGTTTTTAGGAGAATGTGTGGTTAAAAAGTAGGAAAAAATTTTTGTTTCACGTGCAGAATATTTTATTGTGTGAATCTGTGGTTGAAAATAAGTATGTAGAAAAAAGAGTTTGAAAAGTATTGTTGTCAAACATGGACTTAATAGAACATAGTTTATACATTCTACTAATCATCAATCAAAATAGATTCATTTCAATATTGATGACAAAAAATAATTTTCGCATTTCTAGACGAATAAAAGTTCCCAGACTATTATAATTTGGTTCAAAGTCTATGCGAAAAAAAATTAAATTGAATATCATTAATAATGTTTTGGAGAATATGAGAAAATTACAGTTAAAATGGCATTAGGGATCTTATTGAACAAAAATGGTGATATTGTTCCTTCATTGATCAAGAATTTCGATTTTCGGAAGGTACTTCCATCATAGTGAACCTCGTTGACCTATGGTTGATTATAATCTTAAAGTTTTTATTATAACCAACAAGTTAATCTACTAACAAATTGAATTTAAGTGATTATAGTTTTTAAAGCACATAATAAAGAATTGATTGATGACCATCAAAAGATCAAAAGCAATCATCACTAATTAGACTCACAAAGAAAGCCAAGATTGAAGTTAAAGTCTTCCAAGCATTCAAGATGAAAAGCTAAAGAAATATCAAGAACTATGTCTTTTTAGATAAAATGTAAATGTACTGATACTTTGATATTTAGCAATGAATTTTTTAAACTCAAAAACCTTTTTATGCATTAAAAGCTATTTTGTGCACTAAAAGTTATTTTGATAAAGAGTAAAATTGATTTTCAAAATAATGTTTGAATTTAGATCATATTTTTAAAACATCATTTATCTTGAAAATTAGTTAAAAACGCCTTCCAAAAGTCTGCATTTTTCAAAACATTAGAAACAAATCAAACGGGGCAAAAACGTGAAAATTGGCCAAATTTGTTGGGGAGGTGGACCGAGGTCAACTGACGACGGTCTACTAGCCAAAAGTGGCGACGACTGAAAAGGTCCAACGTCTAAAATTTGACCATTCTGAATTTATGTTTTACAACGACTATATTGATCTTCCGGACATGAGGTGCTCAATCGGCACTCTTCCGAACTTTCAGAAAGTTTTCCTTTTTGAACTTTGTAAATATTCTCACTCTTTTCATTCTTCATATCATTCTTTAAAAGTATTAAAGTGAAAAATCTTTGAGCAAAAATCTTTAAACTTATATCTTATTTAATTCATCAAACATTTACTTTGAAAACGTTCAATTGGTTGAATCAACTTTCGAAAATCATTTTTTTCATCTAAACTTGAGTTTTATTTATTGCATATACTCTCTCTTTCATTTTACTTATTGCTTTCGTATTTGTACATTTTGTTTGATTGATTTATTCATTCCCAACTTGCTTGAATTGGAATTAATTTTTTGAAGAAGTTAAATCAATTCACCTTCACTTGGTTAGTTATTTTTGGGTGTCAATTGGTATTAGAGCTTGGTGCTCATTCTTAAATTTAAAGATTTCATAATTTTGAGTAATGGCTAACCACAATCTTCAAAATTTTGAGAGGCATTCTACAAATCGTCATCCTTTCTTTAATGACACACATTATGACTAATAGAAAGCTAGAATGATGATTTATGTTCGATCAATAGATTATAATATTTGGAAAATTATTGAATTTGGCTCCTATATGCTTACAAAATTTATTTAAGTTGAAGGAAAACTGATCAAATCATTTCAAAACGTAGAGAGGAGTACAGTGGAGAAGATAAAAGAAAATTGTATTTAAATGCTAGAGCAAAAAATGTACTTTATTATGCTTTCGATAAAAATGAATTTAATTGCATTAACACATGTGATACCGCTTTTAATATTTGGCATGCTTTAGAAGTATTTGGACACTAACAAAGTAAAAGAAACCAAAATCAATATTTTGGCTAAAGAATTTGAAAACTTTTCATGAAACAAAATAAATCTATTGTTGATATGATTCTCGTTTCACCGATATTGTTAATGGCCTCAAATGTTTTGATCGAAAATTTATTAACGGTGAACTTGTGAGTAAAATTCTTAGGTCTCTCTTGGAGGATTGGAGATCACTAAAGATGTTGCTAGGAAACACCAAAGATGTCGACACATATCCGTTAGAAGAACTATATGAAACTTTGATGACCTATGAACTCAATAATGTCAAGACAAAGGAGAAAACGAGGAAAAGTAAAGAAGAAACAAAAGAACCTCCTAAGTGCCAAATTGCCTTAAAATTGACATTGATGAAGGCACTACAAGTGAAAACATAAGTGACGAAGAGCTTAACAATCTAGTTCTTCTCGTTAAAAATTTAAGAAGTTTTCGCAACAATCGACGATTTCAAAAGAAAGAGGAAAAGGGCGAAGAGAAAAGCAAAAAAGATCATTTGCTACGATTGTGACAAATCCGGTCATAAGAGAACCGAATGTCGAAACAAGAAAAGATTCAACAAGAAGAAAGCACCCCGAGCAACATGGTATGAAAGTGATAATGAGGAACGTGATGAAAATGAAAATCAACAGGAAGTTGCCAACATATCCTTCATGACAATCGAAGACAAGGTACCAAAGAAGATAAAGAGCAAATTGTTCTTGGATAGTGGATGCTCAAAGCAGAACTAAAAATAAGATGTTACTATCAAACTTTAAAAAGAATGATGAAGATCATGTCACATTTAGAGATAATGCAAAAGAAAAGATTATTGGAATTGGAAACATTGGTAATCACTTATCTCCTTCAATTGAAAATATTTTATTAGTGGATAACCTCAAACATAATTTACTTAGTATTAATCAATTATATAATAAATGTTACAATATTGAATTCGATTCCTCTAAATGTCTTATTAAAGATGCTATATCTAAAAATGTTATGTTTATAGAAAGTCGAAGTAAAGATGTTTATCATAAACATTGAGTTTGAAAGTGATGAAAAATGTTTATCAAGTTTGAAAGTTGATACTTGGCTAGTGGTGTCAAATGGGCCGAGTGGCTCGTGGCTTGGTCGCTCGGCTTGTGAAAATGAGGCTCATGGGCGGCTCGGGCTTGTCATGTCGAGCGGGTCGGCTCTCGACTCGCCCACGGACGAGAAATTCATGGGCTCGTGGTGTTTTGGTCACTGTTCAAATTTCAATGACCGTTGCAAACGGTCACTCAACATTCAAAGTGGCCATTTTAGCCAATACCCCAACCAAATCCAATTTTTTTCACACAATACCCCAAGCAATTCCATTTTTTTGTCACACAACATTCCAACAACTCTCACTCTCTTCTACATCCTACAATCTATTACATTTTCATTTTTACCTTCAACTTTAATTATTCGATATCAATTATCATTTATCACACTGCAAAGTTACAATTACAATCTTACACCCCAACTTTCTTTCAAATCTTGATTTCTTTCAATACTCTTTATCTACTTACTTAATTATTTATTATAAAAAA